AAAACTACATGGATGGTGATTTCTTGTGATTTTTGGATGTCAGGTTTCAATACGGTAGCAGCTTAAAGGTGTCCGGTGTCCTCTTTTCGGGGTGAAATATTAACATTTTCAGGGGAGTAGTCTTGATCAATGATTGGGCTGTGAGCCCAAGTGTTTTCCTGCTATTTTTCACAGATCTGTCTATCTATCTGTCTGTCTGTCTATCTATCTGTCTGTCTCTCTAGCTACATACATTACATTACATTACATTACATTACATTTTATTACATGTTATTACATTACATTACATTACATTACATTACATTACATTACATACATGTATGCAAAAATACAGACATACATACATCCATACATCCATGCATGCATGAATACATCACATCACATCACATCACAGTACACTACACTACATTACACTACACTACATTGCATTACCTTGCATTACATTGCATTACATTGCAGTACATTGCAGTACATTGCATTACATTGACATACATACATATACATATGTGTATATATATATATATATGTATACACGATGCGTACACATGGGTTCGTCTGAAAATAGAGAACCCATGAGTGCCCCTACTATCCAGGGCTTTATCAAACATGTCCTCATCAAAATAACCATTTTGGGGCAATCGTTACGGTAAGTCCCAAGGTCCATGTTAGGGGGGATGGTGTCATCTTCCACTTTTGCTGGCAATGGACATATCTCAAAGCAACCGTTTTTTGGAGCAGTGTCATGAAGGAATTAATGCTTCGAAGAAACCAACAAATCGAATTGGGAAACGCACATAACAATCATAACATACAATGTGAGGCCCCCCAGTGATGTGTGTTGGTTTAACAAACGCCCCAGTAACTATAGTTATTTGCGTACCATAAACCATAGTGACATTGGAGTTATGTTCACCAACTTACAGTCGCGAATGAACTGGGGCACCACCGACTGTACGTACCTTAACCGGTGTCAAACGTGACTGTCCGCCAACGGAAATCCATGAACTCAATGGAGCTTGAAACGTGGCCGGAAAGCAGTGCGCACAGCAGGGAAAATAAGAGATACTTTGCTGAAAAGGTTCATTTTTCTTGGGAATCCTCATGGAATGGTTGGAAGACAGCTGGTACCCGTATCAAAGCAAGCAATCAGCAGCAAGCAAGCAGCAAGCAAGCAAGCAGCAGCAACCAGTCTATGCCCCTTGAATTAATGATTAATTATAAGTATATAATTAAGTACTAAAAGCTGCTGCAATACACAATTGAAACAACAAATGAACTGTTTCCAAGCGCACGGCTCCAAAACAATGAAATAATTCAGTTACTAAAAGTTGTGGTGATGCCAAAATTGAACTTCTTGCGAGATACGAGTTGACCCTAGCGCTTGTGAGATTTCCCAGCAAGCCGTGGTTGATTACCACTGGGTAAACACACAAACATTCCAACATTGGTCAGCACCACTGCGAGCAACTAAGCAACAGTATGTATATAGCTTACCTCGATATATTATGATATATATTGCCGTCTACTAATTGGTACACATTGACGACCCATTTGATGTCCACACGTACCTTGCCAATATACATATAAGTAGATTAAACATGGGCATCAACATTCACAATATATATATATATATATAACATGAGATAAATACATATAAATACTAAGTCCAGGGTATAGAGTAAGTCTTATGCAATGGTTTAAGGCTTCATGATCATCATCTGTTCAGAATCTCTTCACACCGCCATGCTTCGCGAAGATGGAAAATCACCTCAATGGGATATCTTGATCGCTTCAGCTACACATACGACATCCCAAAACACTGTGTTTTTTTGGGTTATGTATGTATATTAAGGCTTTCCGATCCATCAGGTTACCCCCATACAAAAACATATATATACATATATATATATATACATATATATATAATATATATATATATAGGTACTTTAGTATTGAAAGCCATGGTGACTTGGGGTACCCATCTTAAGAACCCCCCCATGTGTATATATAGTAGATCCGTATGTGTATATAATATTATATAATAGTAGTGGATCCCAACGGGTCATCGGAAAATACCTCATATGTTTTCTGTTCATCTCTCGAAAATTATAAAACCTCCCAGTTCTCCCGGACTGACCGGGATTCTTTCACCTTTGCTTCATCTTTGGGCAGAAAATTCACACCCAGTCGATAGTCGCCTGACGTGTCAGGAGACGACTTAATCACTCGTGGATACCCGGCATGTTGTCAAAGCTTACGGTAGGTACTTTAATCTGTCATTGAGTCATTATTTTATAATCACCAAACATCAAACGAAAACATCAAGTGCATCTATCTGATAGATCTCCTGATTGCCAAATTCTCCATCCAACGTTTTTTTTCCGAGCAGTAATCATGGTCTCAATGATTATACCGTACCTGTGGTCCATGGGCCTTGATGGGACTGAGACTCTGAGTCAACGCGACGATAACGCGACGATAAGCCATAGATAGCCATAGTATATTATATATCGTATCTGATAGTATGAAACTATGATGGTTCAACTATTTCTTGAACACATATCTGGGAGATTCTGATAGTATGTGATGTGGATGGAAGTTTTGCCACAAACTATGGCCACATGCGAAAAGATAAGACTGGGGCGAGCTGGCCATGGGAGAATCCCCGAACTAAGTGGAAGTTTTACTGAAAAAATCCTCGAACTCAACGGAGACATGTTCAGGCCATGGTTGATGACACCGGGTATTCCAAAGTGAGTAAAACACACCGCTTTTTCGCATGTGATCATGGCTGCTATGGCTTTCACCAGGTTAAAACACGCCTGCATTCTCGAGTGTGAGGCCAGGCTTGTTGGAGACGTTGCCTGAGTTACCAAGTTAGCGTTCTCGAACGCGGGCCCCACTAACTGTCGTCAAGATGAGATTGGTGTGGTTATTACCTATGGTTTATCTATGGTTTACCTATGGATTATGGTATTGATATAATATATATATATAATTATAGTTAGTGGATGTTGATATGTTGATGGGATTTACCGACTTACGACTGGGGGGTCCCGATGGCTGGTCACTTCAGTCTGGTGATCTGTTTGGTTTGGTCGATTTCATCATGTCAGAATACCCTCTGGTAGACTAACAGAAACATGGAACATCACCATTTTTATTGGGAAAATCAACTATAAATGGCCATTTTCAATAGCTATGTTTGCTTACTACCAGAGGGTATATTGCTTCGATTAACTTTCAAATTTTGCCGTTGGTCATCTTGCCCAAAATCTGCTCCACCTCAAAATTCCACAGTCGATCACAATGTTCCCCTTTCAAGATTGCAGTTCTTGGGGTATCCCCCATTTCAGGCACATCAACATATCATGTTATCTGTTTTCATATGACTCATATATCAATTCCTAAAAAAAATATTGGCAAAACTCCTGGCTGGTTAAATCATTTGGGAATGGTAGACATACCACCTATTTATTGTGATCTGGGAGATGGTTTATTATTGTTTAACCAGACATATCCTGTTTTTCGATGTCGAAATCACCATGTTGGTTAAATCACGGGTTCAATCGGAGACCTCTTCGACCGCTGAATCAACCAGCATTTCGCAGCTCCTCCCCGGCTCCAGTTCAGCCAAAAAGCTGGTCTTGGCAAAGGTCGTCAGCATCTCCACCTCGGTTGGAGATGAGAACCCCCCAGGTAGATCTGGAGATCTGGGGGGTTCCTAAGTCATGGGGGGAAGCACTAAATATCTCACAATGTTAGAGCATAGAATGATAGTTATAAATATATTAGATGTGGGGGTAGCACTAGTTATCATCCATTTGAACATCATATTTTCAATGTAAACCGTCCAGCTATTGGGGAATCCCCATTTTAGGAAACCACCATATAGCATCATATAGCTACTGTATATAAATTGGTAACTGGGTCATATATAGTTCACATGCGTGTGATGACTATTACCCATTTGCGGTTAGCATCGAAGCTAACTATTTCACTATGCCTAATCTCACTAACTTATTTTCTTTTGTTTTTTCCCCACTTGCTAAGCTGTATGACTGTGTCTGATGTAAGTGGTTTGTTTCGCATGATTATTGCTCAGTTACTAAGTGGGATGATCCTTGTTTCGCAGCCGGACTGTCGTTGGTTTTGTCCGCATGTTTTCTGGTACCCCACAAGATGTGCCATTCCCATCACCATGTTGGCCGTGTTACAACGGAATCATGGCCGCTACGCCACTACATGGATGATTTACATTTACCGACAGCATTCATTTACCGACATTCTTGGGCCCATTGGGGATAGGGAGTTTATGCAGAAAGCTGAAAAACGGAAATTTATGTTATTTTTGTGCCTGGAGATCGTCGAAGATCAACGAGGCAGCTGGGGTACAGTACAACTGTGGTAATCAAACATGTCTAGCTGAGAAATCTCAGCAGATGGATAGTTCAATAGAAAACCATCGAAAAATATCTATGTTCCATTGCCATGTTTGACTACCGGAGGGGTAAATATAGGCTACACCGTTTGAAAAGACATAGCAGTGACAATTGAATCATTAGAAACCCTAGCATATTGAAAACAAATTGAAAACATATTGATGTGGGTATGAGTCAAAAACCAGGTACCCTTTTGCTCACAGCAAAATAGTTTGTGACTGGATGCTCATCATTCAAGCATGGCATCACGGGTTTAACCTATGTTTGGTGATGGGTCATCAATGGTGGGGTCATGACTGGCGTCGCTCAACTATTTACCCAACTATTTATATGGAGGTTTCTACTACAATGTGAGGCCCCCCAGTTATAAGTTGGTTAACAAAAGCCCCAGTAACTATATTAGTTATAAGTACCATAAACCATAGTTATGGGAGTTATAAACCAACTTAGCTATCTTGGGGGCCTCACATTGTAAGTCATGGGGGATCCTCAAATCATCCAAGACATGGATGACTGATGACCATGACGTAGTTTAACGGTTAGCCTATGGTGACGACTGGGGATCCCCCAAGACTTAGGAAAGCCCCAGAGACACGCAGGGATTCACCTGTACCAAAGCAGCCAAAGCACGAGGCCGCAGAATGCAAAGACCTACGGAGCTTGGCCCTGCTGAGGAATTCCCATTGCCAATCTTACATACCCTGCAAAAAATTAAATTCTTTGCTGGTTAGTAGATATTCCCATTAATACCAAAAGACTAAAGGATTAAAGTATCCATGTAAGATTGACCTAGTTCCATTCAGGATCAAGTTGATGTACCCTAGGGCAATCTAACATAGATGCGTTCCGCACACCGATAAACCACAAATGGTGGATTGTCCACATCTATGTTAGTTTACCCCAGGGTAATAGCGTATAACCATGGGATTTTCACCCCCATAAATTTGGATATGATTATACATATATATACACATAATAATATATATATATATATACAATTATATATATATATACAATTATATATATACATACAATTATATATATATATTATAATTAAATATAATTAATATACTTAATACATAAGCATCATAATCTATACCTATGGTGAAATCTAACCCCGCACCTCTCAATGAAACTGAACCCGCAAGTACATTCCGGGACGATTGTCTTCAAGGCCCAGCTTTTTTGGATCTCTATCGATTTAAGGCTTACGGAGAACGGGTATTTGTTAGGCCCCAAATTGATCGTGGTTTACCCTGTCCTTTTTTGTGAACCAATTAAATGATGACAGGGACCTCAAGTTGAACTAGTTGAGACTGCGAACCAATCAAAACTGGGGCATTTGGACATCATAGCTGGTAGAAAACACACATATATATATATATATGTATATATGTAGGCATGTGTATATATATATATGTGAATATATATATATTGTGTATATATTTACATGTTTATATATATATATATATGCATATACATATACATATATATATATGCATATATATATAATTATATATAATTGGAACAGCACTGGGAATCCCAACTTCACATGAATGTGCTCTATTTTCCCCAATTGATAATGAATGATTCGTGGTTTCAACCCCATTGAATAAACATGAAAGTCATTGAGGATAAAAATCATCCCAAGTGTTGAAATTGGAATAACGCATGTTTGACACCCAACAGGACAAGTCGTTTTCCATTGGTCCTTTTTAATTTTTTTTTGACCTCACAAGCCAGCATACTGAGATAGTATGAGATAGTCCAAGGACATGAATAGATGTTTATATATATATATTAACTATATGTATACTGATTTCCCCATATTCATGCAAGGTGGAGCACCCCACTTGTAAGTTGGTTTACAATCCCCGTTAACTACAGATATTCATGTACCATAAACCATTCCCGAATCCCAAAGTCATTGCGGATCAGCCTCCCAAATAGGGGTTGATTAAGAAACCCTGTATGTACATCCTCAGGTAATCATACGTGGCACATATATACATATATATATATATTTATATTTATTTATTTGCTTATATAATAGTAATTGCTTATTTGTCTATAAATATTTATCCATAGCTGATTTTCCAATTAAACACCTCCACATTTACGAAGCGGATTTTCCATTGCTACGTTGGATGAAATTACTGGAGGTCCATCCATGTCTGTCCAACCCCATTTTGCAACATCAGCCTATGGCTTTTGTCTGAAAACCTGGAACCTCATTTTCCCAACTTTTCATAGGCATTTTTTGGTAGTCTCTCCCATTTTTTCAGGCAAACCCACAACAGATTGTTGGTGAACTTTATAACATACTCTATACATGTATACATGTATAATCATCTATATATACATACATTATAATAATTGTATATATATATACACATGAAATCCATTCCCAAACGACTCCATGGTCTCGAGTCCAAAAGCCTGGAAGAGGGGCCCCACTTGATGTCCCTCCTTGCCATAGAAGTCCGTCGCATCCAGAACCTCGCAACGCCAACGCAGCGAGGATCACCCGAAATGGATGAACAGACCCCATGATTTACATATCATCTATCACCATATATGCACACATATGTATATAATTAATCATATGTATATATATATATACATATATATATATATATGTAAATAAATATATATATATGTAAATATACATATGTATATATATATGCAAGTATGTGGTCTTGGAATCTTGTGAACTCCCCGAAACAACACAATCTTCAACTTTGCCAAATCAAAAACCCTTTTTTTGTCTCCCCTCTCCCCGTGACGCGTTGAAGCCACGAAGGGAAAGTAGGGATCTCCGGCGCAGGCGTTGTGCGCGTCCACCACGGTCTTGGCGCCGTAGCAGGCCTCCGGTCCGGGGATGCGGACGAAGTCGGGGACCACCAGGCCTTGGAGCCCAAGCGCGGTGACCGGCCCGCGGTGTCGCCGAACGGTGAATGGATGGGAGGAACAACTCATCTCATCGAATGGTGGATAAATAATGGATAAATGATAAATCTAATCTAATTATAATGATATAAATGGTGGTTTAAATCATGGATAATCTAATGATGATGGATAATCTATTTATCAGTTGCGGTAAACAAATAATGGTGGTTTGAAGAAGAAATGAGGATCTAATCTAAGCTAAACTAGTGCTATATCTAATCTAAACTTATGGATTTGTCATGATATGTCTAATCTATGTGTTCTATATTTCTGTGATATTCATAATGAACCAACAAAATGACTTGGGTATGGACTTCAAATTGGGGATACCCCACAGTTCAGGCCGTTTGTTTATCAAATTTGCGGTAGCCTATTTCTAGACGCACCCAAATCGAAAATTATTGGGCTGGTTGCAAAATTCTACAGGAGACCATTTTTTGTACCAGTAAATATATATAGATATATAAGTTGTTTTCTGTGGAGTTTCCCGTCATCCAATTTCAAGATAAACATCTGATAAATTCAGATGTTCTGGCAAAACTGTGGGTATGATTGGACAAAACATCCAGGGATTGAAGCAAAACTGGACAGCCTCATCTGGTTGGTGGTTGACCTACCCCTCTGAAAAATATGAGTTCGTCAGTTGGGATGATGACATTCCCAATATATGGAAAGTCATAAAATTCCATGGTTCCAAACCATCAGTTTGCTATAGTTATGTATACCATAAACATCCATAAACCATAGACTTCAGCCAAGGTACTGCTTGGTAAATGCCATACATAAATTTAAAAAAAATGTTCCGAACCACCAACCAGTCATATTTCATAGGGAAAACAACATCGAATCCTCTTGTGATTCACAGTGAGTTCCAGAAAACCGGTGGATCCGGTGTTGAAATCGTCGGCAACTGGTTCTTCTAAGTTGATAATAGACATATGTAACATATGTACATTTATATGTATTTATATATTTATATAGCTATCTATATATGTATATATAACTATATATATACTATAAATATATATATATATAACTATAGACTATATATATATGTATATATATATAACTATAGACTATATATATATATATGTATATGTGCATGTCCCAATTTCATACTTGGTGGTTCATCCTACGTAGGATGTAGCTGATAAACCTGGTTATAGACGGGGCAAGCAGGGTTAGGGGCAAGCAGAGCCAGTTCACTTAGAAGCGTGCTTATGATTCAATTATTATAATAGGATTACTACGTAGGATAAACTACAACTGGTTGGTGGTTTCAACCCCTCTGAAAAATATGAAAGTCAATGGGAAAGATTATTCCCATATATTATGGAAAATAAAAAATGTTTCAAACCACCACCCAGACAATGTCTGACAAATCATAGTAATCCAGTAACCTGAATTTCTCAACCGTTTGGGGATTGCCCCAATCCGAACCATCTAAAGACGCCGCGACGTCGCGATGTCGCGACGTGAGATCGTGATCAACTTTTATCCTGACATATCAATAGATCATATATAATATCAATTCATATCAGATATATCATCTGATTTTTGTTCCACGTTTTTTTTGTTGAAATCATGCGTTGCTGCTTACCATAGATGTTCCCCTTTAAAGAAACGCCGCTTCAGCGAGGCTCCCACGAAGGCCAACATGGCGATTCGGCCGTGCTTCAGCTCCGCCTCTCGGAACCAGGGCAGATATTTTTCCTGCAACCGGTGCAACGGTGATCTTAAAGATTCTTAAAGGGACATGAAACCCGGTTCATATTCATATTTAACATGTATCATGTTATTCATGTTATTCATGTTATATGGATGATGATCTGATATCCATAAGTTTTATTTTGAAACATGATAAAGACATTTTGAGTTAAACATATTATATATATATATATGAGCTGATTTATCGGTATTTCATGGAGATACTTTTCATGGAGATATCAGCACCACTTAAATGGGGATGAAACCCTGGCTATTTCACCGTTCATAGACGGGCTTTCCTGAAAGTCTTCAACCAATTTGATAAATGAACGATGGCTGGGCAAAAACACTCAACTAAGAATCTGAGTGACATGTTTTTCTTGAAACCTATTTGAGAAGCATCTAGTAACTTCAGGGAGCATCCCCCACTTCAGTGTAGTACCTTTTTTTCACACCCTCTGGCAAAGGGCGCCTTGAAGGAAAGTGGCCGCGAGATCCCAGATGATTGTAGGGGGTTCTACTATATCCCATAGGATCCATGGTGCTGGTATATATGCTAACATTGGGGGTATATTGATGGGATCCATGTTACCATATATAGCAGCATGGATCCTGTGGCTATATTGGGGATTATCGTCATCCACTGTGGGAATCCCTGACCAACCAGGATAATTTTCATGACAGCGGGTTTTGAACACTGCTCATCTGACTACAGCAAATCCCATCATTTGTGGTGCAGTTGTTTTGAAGTCGTTTAAATCAATAATAAAAAAAAAATCCAAATAGATGGTATCTGCTGTGGTTGCTCAACTGGTCCAAGCATACCAAAGATGTTCACAGACAAGATGTGGATTGAAACCACTACTAGTCATGATCCTTCAAGTTTGGTTTAAGTCCCCAAATACTCAGGGGGATTATAACATATTATACAATGTGAGGCCCCCCAGTTATAAGTTGGTTTAGATTCGCCCCAGTAACTATAGTTATTTGCGTACCATAAACATCCATAAACCATAGTGACATTGGAGTTATGTTCACCAACTTAGCTATCGAACGGGAGCTTCACATTGTATTATAACACATTTACATTTCAATGTACTACACATTGACAAAGACGTGCTGGGACCATCCAAGAGCTTCACTTTCCATCTCCATGTTTGCGACTCCCCCTTGGTGGCTGAACAACCAAAAAAAACAAGATGGTTTACCATCTACTGTACATATGTTCACTGGGAATTCCAGGATTCTAAATTGGAGGTACTGTACCATATAAGGCCATATTTTGTGGGGATATTCCCTTATATAGGCCTTACATAGGCCTTATATATGGTAGGTACCTCCAATTTAGGTTCCTGAAATGGCCATTGGTATGTTTGAGATCTTTTAAGAACAATAACACCAATCCCAAATGCTCCATGGTGCTGGAATATTTACCTACATTGACCCCCAAAGTGGTCCGTGGCCCAGTTTTGTAGATAAATATTCCAGCACCATGGTTCGCATCTGGGATATATGATCTACAAAATAGAACAAATAGTTTCCCATTATTCCCATTATTATTCCAATAAAAAAATGACCCAGTTTTACCCTCTGGTAATTGAAGATAGCTATTGAACATATTCATTTATGGTTGATTTACCTAGCTATAAAATGGTGATTTTCCATATATAGTTTTCTGTTTGTTTACCAGAGGGTAACACACCAAAAAATGACCCCCAAAAATCGCCAGGTCCAACCAATTCAGATCTCCGAGTGGCACACTTCACCGCCAAGCCCAAGGGGTCGAAGTTGAAATCCTGCCCGGCAAAGGCCTTGGGCGTCGATGCCATTGGGTGAATCGAAGTAACCAAGATTTGCTCGGGAAAATATGGGACAATCAGCTATAAATGATGGGAACATATGGGAAATCAGCTATAAAATCTATAAATATGGATGTGTTTGAATGGTTTTAAATGGTTTTGATGGGACATGTCCATAACTTCCCTATTTATTGCTGGGAACATCATCAAAGTATTGCTGGGTCCTGCAAGCCAGGGAGCTGATGACCAAAGGCTGCTTGGGAAGCATCCCCAGGTATGTCAACCCAGCTTTGATAACTTCTAACAGGGAGAATTATGATCAACTATGTTTTTTATCGGGATATGTTAATTTGATGTTCATTCTCATAATTATAATATATATATACTGGTATATATATATAGTATATATATATATTATAAATATGATATGTGATGTGTGTGTATGTCTCTGTGTGTGTGTAATATTCTGAACCCACTTTTCAATCAAAGCCATCTCTGCGAAAGCGACTGAAACCAGGACAATGAGGCCACATAGAAACGCTTTGCCAAGGCTTGCGATGCGAAGCTTTGCAAACTGGAAAATCACCATGTTTTTTTGAGGTGAACGGTAAACATAGAGGTAAACGGCATCACAAATCATCTATGTTTGTTGGGCCATGGCTTCCAGCTATGTAACAAATAACCAGAGGGTAGACCTTGTCTTAAAATAGGGTAGCCGGTAGCCCCTAAGAAATAAAGGCATCATCAATTTTTCCCTTTCACAATGGACATGTCGGGGTTGTACTGTATACCCCATATTCAGGCGACAAATGCTTCTTTCAGGGGCACTTTGAGGGTCACAGGTGCTCCCTTCAATAGTGCCTCTTCGCCGATGAAGCTTAAAGAAGAACTACAAGGTTCCCCAGCTCTGTCTGTCGGTGTAGTTTCCCATGAACTACTTCGATATAGTATATATATATATATATCATGATAATACATGAAATATCTAGCAGGAATCCAAAGTGTTAGACGAATTAGAGTAGTATCAATCCCATATGCTCCATGGTGCTGGAATATTTACCAACATTTGCCCTACAAATCACCCAGTTTTGTAGGTAAATATACCATACATGGAGCATATAGGATTGATACTGCTGTATCTATGGAAAATCACCATTTTTAAGTTCGGTAGACCATCTATTTCGATCAGGGCCATCGTTTCATAACCATGGCGAGCCCTGTGAATGTCATAACCAGGCCGGGTCGACTTTCCAACGTTCAACGATTGCCGCGAACTCCGTGGATCGTCTGGATCCCAAGGATCTCCAGAATCCCCAGTGGCCAAGGAACAGACTCGCCACCGATCAGACCACCGGCGAAAGGTTTCTCTGCGCACAGGACCAACCTGACGTGGGAAGGAACTGCTGACCAGGTGAACCCCCCTGGGATCCCCTTGGGGTCAGGGGGTGGCCTGGAATTTGGTCACCAGCTCCGTAAAAACCATCATGATCTTGGAACAAACATGGCATCAACATGATAATATACATGTTGCTGTTCATGGAAGTCATAGTTCCCAAATGTCGACAAGTGATATCCCAAGGGTAGCGGGGGTGAACTCACCTATGCCCATTGGATTTTCAAGTGTTTAAAAAGCCATTCGGTGCGGTTTACCTTGAAGCTAGTGCCTTTATGATATAGTGATATATAGGGAATGAAATTGGTGAAATATCAAGTATGTTGGTATGGAAAACTCTAAAGTTTTACAGTTTTTTGGGTTTCTTCATTTGTCCGCCATGGTTCAATTCATGCTGCCATTGCAAATACGCAAAAAACCAGGCATCAAATCTGAAGACTAGATCGCAACACATACGACCATGGGCAAGGATCAATATGTCACTTATCACAAGAGGTGAGGTTTGAGTTGTATACAATATAAAACACACAAAAACAAATTATTCCACATAGCCTTCCCTGATGAAACGTCCTTCTGTATCGCAAAGCCAATGGATGAAACATGATGAAACCATCAATCAATTCAAAGGTTTCAATGCGTTTCAATCATTAAAATGATGTTGGGTAGTCCCAATTTTGGTTGCACATAAGCTTTATAACTCATTCATACTCATATGTAAATGTACAACTAAGTATACACAAATTATACCCACAATTCCCCGAAATTTGTGTAGCATTGCTCCTCCCATCCAAACCCCTCCATGAATTTCCCCCAAGCCACGCGCTGCTCGTCTTTTTGGACTTTCTGGATGCCACCAGCGCCACTGCCGCCGTTGCCACCGCCGTGGCCGCCGCCCCGGTGACGGGCGACACGCCGTTTCCGCTGGCGATGGAAGCTGCGCCGCGCAGGGCTGGGGCCGGCTGCGCTGGAGAAACCGTCGGTGTGACGAAGGCACCACTGAGGTACGAGGCGCCCAAGAGGCCGCCGAGGGCACTCAACGTCACCGACTTGGCCATAGCTCGGCTCGGGGCGCTGCACCGCCGCAGTCTGCGCCGCTTTTGTTGTTCTTCTGTTCTTGGAGCCGCAGCGGCTGCATCGGCAATTTCGTGGAAGGGATTGTAGGCTATATATATATACTATAGCACAATATTGGGAGCATCACAACTTGTTTGAAAGTACCTATCCTGGACCGTTTGCGTTGCTTAAGTCGTCTTTCTTCTTGCCTCAACTGCGAGTTACTGCTCTAGTTTTCTTGACTGGGATCCAGCCCCTAATTCCATACACATTAATCTTGGTCAAACCATTTCACCCCAAACTTTCTTCCTTTTCCTGGTTGCTTCCTCTATTTGAACATCCCATTTAGTCAGTAGCTAGCAACCGTGTTTAATAGCCCCAGGTGCAATCCTTTCATGACGAACCTGGTAACAAAGAACCATCCCAGCAGTTCCCAACTCGGACGTTCCTTTCACTTTCACCGAAACATAGGCCCCGCACTCGTTGAGCATATCGCTGGGCAACGGCGCTTCCGGCGGTCCAGGGTGGCTGGTGCAGGTGGGGCACGGACCTGAAGCAATCCGTGGACGTTCATAGGAGAAAACGCATGAACATTGATGTTGAGAAATGTACATATAATTGATTTTTTTAAGGTTCAAACAAAATGGATTAAACCGTGATTTAATTATATTGATTTATACAGTACTCTGTTAACATATAGCACTAATGATTCTAAATTATGGAACTACATAATGTATCAATGTATGTATGAATCTATTATATCTTCATGAATGGCTAGCTAAATCCAATAAGTTGGGCTTGTACTATACGTGGAATAATATAAATATATTATAGTAGATGTATTCGAATCGTCAAAACTGGATCTATGGACATATCATGGGATTCATGAACACAGGATTATACGTGGAACATCTTCACATTAAAATCAAGTTTCTATACAAATGGAACATGGTATTTTTCAATACTGGGTTGGGTTGGTTTGGGAAAATCTAGAGGAAACCGACGGCGTCGTATTGGAGAATCTCCTTGGGTTATTTTTCACCATGGAAAGTCATGGAAATTCAAGGCCTCGAAGGCGTCTTCCAACCTGTGAAGATTAATGGCGACGCTAACGGGTGACGCAAAAACATGGAAAAACCTGGGTGTCGCTATTGATAAAACAAGTAGAGTGACAATCCTCCGGATGTTTGGACTAGTCTATAACATACTAGTAACTATAGTAATTATACGGCCAGGCACTGTGTGTTGCCCGGAAGGTTCAAATGGCGTTTAAACATGTTTAAACATTATCCTTCAACATGCTCAAACACCTGCGCAGGGCCAGTGTTTTGAGATTTTCCAGACGACGAACCCTAAACCCTAGAACCCTACCCCAAACCCTAAAACCCTAAACCCTACAACCTAGGCTCTGAAAACTTTGAATCCTAAACTGGAAAACACTGCGTATACGCAGTATTTTCTGCAATCTCTCCTATCATATATTCGAGAGCACGACATTCTCAATGTTAATGTCTGGGCAACACACGGCGTCTGTGGGTAATTATACTAGTAGGATCTGGTGGATAGGTTTTTAAAATCAAACAGCATGTTTTGGTAGGACCTGTACTGGAAATACACGGTAGCCATGGACATGACCCAAGACCCAGGAACATCCGGGAACTGATCAAAGCAATTTCTAGCAATCTTGGTTTACTGGAAGGTCATATGAGTCATATAGTTTTGCCCAAACACGAAAATCACGAAAAATACACCAAATCCCGGTTTGCTATCAGAAACTAATTTGGATGATTGGATCCTCAGGGCAAAAACAAATGACGTGGGTTCTGAGAATAGGCTACCTCTATCAAAATGAATGAAGATTGTCATTTTTACGCGGTATTAAAGCAGTATTTCCCATTAGACACAAGTGTTGAACTACGCCATTTCCGTCCCCCCAGTGAGGTGTCCGGACACTGCAAGCTCTTCATGCTGATGACACCGCCCAGTTCGCTCCTTGGTTGGTATCACCCCAGTCGATGCGAAAAACACATTAAGCAGAAAAAACGTACGTTTAAAAGCGGGATGGGGGTCTTCGATTGCGTGTTTATTCTCCATGTTTGAAGTTTCCCCCATGATGTTTCCGCTGGAACCAACTCTTCATCAGTGATCCCAAGGTTCCAACATGTTCCAACCAATTGGTCCCAAGCATCGTGGAATATGTCCTAAATGGTTTTTTTCGCAACATGTTTTATAATATAATATAGTATGTTAAGAATGGAATGACCGAACATACAAGTAACATGGATAAACAATTGGGATCAAATGGGATATGTTCAGAGATTGTTCAGCTGTCAGCTCCGCTTGTTACGAACTTCCTATTCAGAAAGCATGTGAACCAGTAATGTGGGTAAAACAATGTCATAAACCACACATTTGGGAATGGTTTATAAAACCTACCCTCTGGTAAACTAACACAACTATGGAAAATCACAATTGTTAACGGGAAAATCAACTATCAATGGCCATTTTCAATAGCTATGTTAAATTACCAGAGGGTATTTATGGTGATGACTGGGGGATGGTTATGACTACAGTGGCAGATCGTCTTTCCAAAATAACAACCGACCGTCATTGCAAAACCATGGACTTCACACCGCAGGACAAAGCGTACGAAAAAGCACCAAAACCGCTTAGGCTTCCCCAGGAAGACGAAATAATATGTCAAATATCGTTGCTTATTATGTCTATAATATATATATATAGAACATAGCTATGGAAAATTGCCATTTACAGTGGATTTACTCACGAAAAATGGTGGATCTTTCCAGTTCGTTCTGTGGTCACGTTTACCAGAGGGTGTATATATATACAATGTGAGGCCCCCAAGATAGCTAAGTTGGTTTATAACTCCAATAACTATGGTTTATGGTACTTATAACTATAGTTACTGGGGCTTTTGTTAACCAACTTATAACTGGGGGGCCTCACATTGTACATATATATGACCCACAGTACGAAGATTTTCACCACGATTTTCACGAAGTTCAGATCTCCAGATCGCACCTCCGCTGTCCAGTGCTGGTGATGCAATCGGCGCCCAAGACACCTGAAGTCTTGGAAGATTTTCAGGGGCATGTTGAATAACTGCTATTTAAAGGGCCATAGAAATGGATATCTACAATTTATCTATATAATCTATAATTACCCCATTTATGGATATAGCTATACCTCATCTGGTTGGTGGTTTTTCCCTACCCCTCTGAAAAATGATGGAGTTCGTCAGTTGGGATGATGACATTCCCAATATATGCAATAATAAATTTTGTGTTCCAAACCACCAACCAGATGTGTATATATATGTATGATGGGATATACACAGTTATGGTCCTTTAACAGTCAAACAAGAGCTTATAATGATATATAATCCTTAGTAATTATACGAAATATAATATCATTTGGAACTGTTAAGGGCCATAAAGATCCATAAAGTACGTATATATATATATATATTGGATATATATATATACATTGGATATATATATATATATATAAATACATTGGATATATACATTGGATATATACATATATATTAATATGTATATATATATATACAACCATGAGACTCCCCAAACTGTTGGCTGAGTGCGTATTGCTTCAAGACCTACATCTGAAACTTGAGGGAGTATAGTTTCTCCATCATATCATCCATAGAAATCTATTTAAATATAATCATATCAACTATATAATTAATAATTATATGGGTTAACTATGGATTAACTACTGTATATGATTACTATATCATCCATATAATCATATACCATATATTATTTACTTATATCATAGTAACCATATAATTAACCATAGTTCATCCATAGTTAATCAGTCAAATTAATTCATCATGAATCTGTAATTAAGCCACACTTAAGCCAAAGTTCTCATCTCTAAATGGTTCCAATGTTTCGTTCCAGGCTCCCACACTGCGCGGGCGCCAAACGTGGCGAACGAAGCTCTGAGAACCCAGGGTGAACCTGAGATCGGACACCAACGGCTGTGACCAAATCTATGGACACATATGGAAAATTATGGGAACATGGATGATTTACCCTCCAGTAGATTAACAGTTCGACCCTGGCATTTGTCGGGGTTGGAAGACTAGTGAAACCATTAAACATTGGTGAATTTCAGGGTCTATGTTAATTTACCAGGGGGTAAGTATATTTAAGATTATTTAAGTCGTACTTTGAAGAAACATGACGGGAATTGACGTGATGTAAGCTTTGACACACAATTCTGGAGCATTCAATTGATTCAATGAGCAAATATGATCTTCAATGGTGAGGGGTTTCAAATGTAACTTAAGCTGCTTTAAAGCAGGGGTGTCACCACATGACCATGAAGCTGGGCGATGGGAACAGCGAGGCTTGAGAGCCGAAGCTCCCTTCAATAGTCCAAAACAAAATAATCAAATTGATGATAGCTGCTTCATAAATCGTTGAACTTGCCAAATGATATATATATATATGTTTGGTGGAATTTGGTGGGATATAGGTCATGGTTTTCCCCATTAAGATGGACATCAATTGGTGGGTCCGACTCAGCTACTATAGGCAATGCCAAGCGCAGATGAACGTGAACACCGGTTTATTAGCTTTGGGAGAGGATACCCCCTGGTAAACGTTAACAAAAAGCTATTGAAAATGACCATAGGAATGGTTGATTTACCCACTATAGTTATGGTGATTTTCCAGTTCGTTATGTAAACGTTTACCAGAGGATACCCAAAATAGTGATACGTATGACAAATATGAAGGAATACTATGACAAATACATCCAAATATTGCTAATTCAAATACACATACTAGTAATCCCCTCCTCCTGATATTGAATACCCCCAACCCCAACCAAAATGAGTGGTCCGTTCATTTGGGGCCGCTTCTTTTGGGGAACAAGGGGGTGCATTCCAACTAGTAAGTGGTCAATCATCCATGTGTAAGTGGGTTAAACAGTTAAACAGCTTATGAGTTGGAATAACTTATCATAATCATATCTATATATATGGTTTATGATTTATGGTGATTATTATTATGGATTTATGGTTTATGATTATGGTTCGCTGGGCCACTTTGTAACTGGGATCCACATCCAAAATTCCAAAAGGGTCAACCGGTCAACCCCCGACTGATTCTAAGTTATGATCAGTTAGATGTACCGAGAAAAATCTTATCCCTTAGAATATTTAACTTATCATAACCACCAATCGGATCCAATCGGTACATCTGACTCTAACTAATTCAAATCCCTTAGAATTAAGTTATCCCATTCAATTATAGTTATATCACTTTCGCATCGCTAAAAGGTATCCCCATCCCCCCACTTGCTCCTCGGTGGCCGCACACGCCGTTGGGACCGGCTTCGCAGCGGGGACGTGAACAGGGCGTTTCACCTTCATAGGCCGAGGCGCAATTCACCTGCCAACACGTCGAGGTGCGGTGAATGGATGTTGGAGACGTATAAAATGGGTGAATGGTACAGTAAGTATAATGAGTTTCAACATGTTTCAAAATGGTATAATGTGGTACAATGATGATGAGTGTTGGGTGTTTTTTTTCATCTCCAGTGTCAAATGGTGGTATAATGACCACCTAATCGTTCTAGAACGAATTTACACAAAAAAACAACTCAGTACTTACAACATATTCTAACCCTTTACAGGTAGGGACATACATTGGAATGTCAGTTCAACCTGGGATGAGTTCATTTGAAGTTGGGATTTTTTCATGGCGAAATCCCCATGGTTTCTTGCTCCATCCCCGCTAGCCGTGGCTACCTCCTTGTAGGTGTCCAGCAGCCAGACATCATTCAAAGCTCGGCCCTGATGCGCAGTGATCTTTGTTTTTTTGCCACGAGGGCACCACCATTTGGGAACAAACACATATTCTTATTGGATCTTATTGGACTTTTCTGGAAAGAACAAAGTGGTTTCGAACGAAAGGCTTGGAATTGGGATCTGCCAAACAAGTCTCAAAAACAGCCACATTTTGGGCTACGTCTGATGTGTTTCCAGAAGGTGATGCCCCAGTAGAATCATTGAGTTTCTTTATGAGTTAAACTAGGCGTCATGGTAGATATGTCTCTAGTTCATGGGCTTTATAACTGGTTGGTGGTTGACCTACCCCTCTGAAAAATATGAAAGTCAATGGGAAGGATTATCCCATATATTATGGGAAAAACATGTTTGAAACAACCAACCAGGTATGTAATGTATATTATACAGTATGTACGTGAATAGGTGTCAGAAGTGAGTCTTGCATATCTTGAAGAGTTCAATAAGTCACATTAAAACGCATACTAGTCATAGTCCACCACAGTATATATACTCTTGTCCACCACCCATACTCCACCAATGTCTGCTCTGAAAGTCAAGTGACTCAGTTTGTGATCTGAGCCTGAAAGTCTACAATTCTCTCAGGGGTACACTGAGTCATTTAGATTGTTTTGAGTATCTCTACAGGTGTGTAGCTATGTGCATACATATATTTAATATAATATATATATATATGTATATTATATATATATGATATATATATATGATATATATATATATGTGATATATATATATATATGATATATATATGATACGTACATACATTGAACATATAATCATATAGACACATCAACATCATCGTCATATCTCGCACTCATTGTGGCGAGATGTCAGCACGGTAGCTGCCAGTCAGCGAGGGAAGCTGATCCTGGTGTGACATCTATCTCCAGAGCATCCTGTTTTCAGCCATAGTTAGTTTGAAAAGTACTTTTCAGGATTAAAGTGGTGAATGAAAAATAAGCACATGCTGAACCTATGTTGATCATTGGTTAAATCTTGAAGCCTCATGAAACTTTAGCTATGGAAAATCCATCATGTGTAGATCTGTCCTGAACGGGAAACCACCGGTATCCCATGTGGTGGCCAACTATTCAGTCCAACTTTCGGCCTGCAACGGGGAGCTAGGACTGCTGCGACCTGGCAGGATGCACAAAGACATCACAATCCCTTTGGGTTTGTCTGAAAATGGGGGATACGTTCATAGACTTGATAGAGATATCATGAGCTATAACACAGTATATATATATATATATTGCCGAAGATAAGCTGGCACTTAATCTATATATATCTATCTATATCTATCTATCTATCTATTTATCTATCTATCTATTTATCTATCTATCTATCTATCTATCTATCTATCTATCTACATACACTGTCTTATCCCATCAATATCCAACAGTTCACAATCATGTTCACAAATATTCATGGCAATGGCAAATCCACAGCTTATCGATGAAACAAATCCATACAGATCCTAAAACAATGGGAATGCACCAAAAACATGGTTATAAACTACGGAAAAGACTTATTTTCACATCTATCAGAATCACCATATCCATAATGTTGAAAAGTATGGAGATTCCCAATAGTTTCACCACAACTTATCACAGATGATATCAGTGTAGCACAGAAAATCCATACCCTCTGGTAATTTAACATAGCTATTGAAAATGGCCATAGAAATAGTTGATTTACCCAGCTATAAAATGGTGATTTTCCAGTTCGCTATGTAGTTTGCCAGAGGGTAAATCCCATTAAATGTCATTAAACCACCATAAAAACCCATTACACCACCATCTTCCTATGGGTTTCCTATGGTTTTCCTATGGTTTTCCTATGGGTTTTCCTATGGTTTTCCGATGGTTTTCCAAATTTCGGAGTCACCGTTCCATCCATTTTTCCACGTGTTTTTTTTCTCCGGCCTCCCAGCAGGAAGATGCGGTTCACATCGTCGACGGTGACCGAAGGAGCCAGGCGGCCTCCTGGAACCTACAACGGGACGACCATGAAATCCTCACCACACAATGTGGTGCCCCAGTTCGTTAGCTAAGTTGGTGCACATAACTCCCATTTCACTATGGTTTATGGTAGATATAACGAACTAGTTAATGGGGTGAATCTAAACCAACTTATAACTCGGGGGCACCATCCTGCAACGGGGTGTTCCTCTACCCATGACGGATCCATGGTGCTGGTAGAAAAATGCTAACATAAAGGGGGTATATTAATGGGATCCATGGCACACCATATATGGCAGCACCATGGATCCGTCATGGGCTATTGTTTTTAGACAAACCCAGATTCGTTGGGCTAAAAAACTTCCCATTGGTTGGTTATCCCATTGCATACCCAATACCCAATCTATCTATATATATATATCTGGTTGGTGGTTTCAACCCCTCCACACCTTTGGGACCCAACATAGCCAACCATAGAATATGCCATATCACGTTTAAGCATATGGTTATCTATCATGATTGTGGTATACCAATATCGGAAACATAGATATCATTATCTGGTTGGTAGTTGAGCCCTACCCCTCTGAAAAATGATGGACTTTGTCAGTTGGGATGATTCTTCCAGTCCAAATATCATGGGAAAGTCATTCAAAATTCCATGGTTCCAAACCACCAGTTTGCTATAGTTATATATACCATAAACATCCATAAACCATAGAATTCAGCCAAGGTACTGCTTAGTAAATGCCATAAAATTCCATGGTTCCAATCACCACCAACCAGATCACCATTGAATGGTAGCAATCACCATTGAGCCGCGTATTTTCAGTGAGATTTGACCACACTGACCTATCAGGACCCGTGCCAAAGAAATAAAGGTCCCGTGCGCCAAAAACAAAAGGGGCATGGGATTGATACCAATATATACCCTCTGGTAAATTAACATAGACCCTGGCAGATAGGGGTTGGAAGACTAGTTTCTATTGAAAATTGGTGATTTTCAGGGTCTATGTTTATTTACCAGAGGGTACCCATTAGTACTATATATATGATTGGCTGATTAGTACTATATATATCATTAGTACCTACTTGATTTTGATATATATCCTATGAGACATTTACCCATTAGTACTATATAATACTATAATATACTATATATACCCTCCAGCAAATTAACAGTTCGACCCTTAAAAAATAGTAACTTTCAGGGTCAACAAGTTAATTTACCAGAGGATATCCCCCCTGGAACATGAGGATTTAACCATTTTTGAGGATTTCAATGGATTTAACCATTCATTATTGGTTTCTACCACCCATAAACAAACGGAGATGACTTGGGAATGGTTTATGACATTGGGTTTGCCACATTAATCATCCAGAATTGGAGGTGTCCTAAATCATCCAATCCATTTATAGATGCGATCTCCGTTCAAAAAAACAAAAAAAACACATTCATCCATTCATAAGGGTTATTGCCCATTGATGGAACCCCCTATGAAAACCATTAAAAATAACCCTCATGTTCAGTAATTATTTAACCCCTATTTGACCCCTATTGACATCTATTAACCATCACCATGTTTGATCATTTTTGAGAATCAACACATCTCAAACACTCGCCTGAAGAGTTGGATCCTTCCAGTGCCTGGCGAATGATGGACCAAACGACTATTGCCGAATGGCTCAATGATGAGTGGATATTCCATGGCGTAAAGTGATGTAAGATATAAGTATACTTTGCAGCCTAATGACCGAATACATATACTGTGATATATAGATATAATATAGTAACCCTTAAAAAATAGATTCAGTAACATATAATCTTGAAACAGTGATTCAATGATAAATTGAACCTGTTCTGCATGTTTGTGAGGCTGCACGAGAATACAAATCCATTCTTTTCTAGCTGAGGATACGTGTATGATACATTATATGAGTCATTAGTGTTCCTCATCTGATCTGTGCTGCTTTCCATGCATGTTTATCACGTATGTCATGAACCTATCAACTTCTCTGTACATGATATGTACTAATTAGCAACATACTACCTATACAACCAACTGGGGACTAGGGATATCATATTTCAATAAGCTGGTGAACACAACTTGAGGTCATGAACCACTTTCGTTCTCTTGAGACGCACTTTTTTTTTGAGTACTTACTCTAGTCAGGAAAGGAAATAAAATGTGATTTCATCAATAATAGTTGTATATAAATATATATATATAGAACTATAACTACAACAAGAACAAGAACAAGAACAAGAACAACAACAACAACAACAACAACAACAACAACCGCCACCACCAGCAGCCAAAAAGATCAATGGAGTATAATCATCCGCGGCGACAGCTCCCAAACCGGCAACTGAACAAATTCTGAGGTTGGGGTGAGTTCATGCTGCCACTGCCACTGGACTTCTTGTTGAGGATTCTCAACAGTATCAGTTGTGTCTTTTTGCTTTACCAAAAGGACATTATATATACCCCAGATGCTCCATGACTCCATTGATGAACATTTACCAACATTTACCAAATTGCTGAATACCAAAACAAAAACATCGTAAATGGGTCCAAATTACTTTTTGTTGTTCATCAAAACACC